CTCGAGACTTCTGGTGTGAGCTCGCTACTCCAGAGCCTGTGGTGAGATGGCCCGATAGCCTGAGAACCCTGCTTCTTTAGAGGGTGTGGCACCAGCAGCACCACCAGGAGTCCCACTGGATCCCTGTCCCCCAGGGCCCTGCACAGCACAAACCCTCCTACCGGCTCCATCGAGGCACCTGGGCAGTCAACGGCACAGCTGCCCTTAGTTCTGGGCGACAGGGTGGCAAGAACTCCCTGTGGGTGGACCCACGGTGGCAACTGCAGTGACATCTGGAATGGCCGCGCTAGTGAAAGGGTGCGCCGCACCTTGTAGAATGCACTGCCCTCCAGCACAGTCCCGGGCAGGACTCAAGCTGCCCACCTGGCTTAGTTTAGAATGAAATAAATCCCTTCTTTCCCAAGTCTTGCCTCCCTAGAGACCATTTTCCAAATGCAGCCAGAGCGATCTTTACAAAGGGTGAATCAAATCACATGGGGCTGCAGCCAAAAGCCCGCCAACGCTAGCACACTCCTCTGACCTCCTAGCCTACCCCGCGGCTGTTCCCTCTCCCTAAAACACCCTTCCCTCCGATCCTCCCCAAGCACACCTCCTCAGAGTGGCCTGGCTGTGCACTTGGTCTGAGGGGCCAGCACCGCCCTATCCAGCCACACTCTAGCTGCTAGCCTTGCGTAATTTCCCTCACGACTTCTATCGCCATCTGAAATATGCTTCGTTACTACCTTACATGCTCTACCAAAAACAAACAAAAAAAAATACCCCGTGAGAGCAAGAATTCCCCTTGACTTGTTCACCACTGCATCCCTGAGTTCCAGAACAGTGCAGGGCACAGAGAAGACAGCCAGTAGCTAAATATGTGGGGGGGAGGTGCAGGGGGTAGGAGGTGGGGCTAAGGACAGGGAGGGATGGAGGGAGGAAGGGGCTGAGGAAGGAAGCTATTCACAGGATCCTGTGATGGCTAGGAGCTGTTGGTGATCCCCAGGTGCAACCAGCGGCTACATTGAGAAGAAGGCACTCCTTCCAGAAGGAATGAGAGCAGGGAAGAGAGCGAGTGTGTGCACGGAACACACATTCCAGAACCAAGCAAAGGTGCCTGAGTTGGAGTGGGCAGAGGAGAGAGGGAGAGAGCACCCACGCTGCCCTGGAATATCACTTATTTCACTAGTTCTTGAAAACGTCTCCAGCCCTGGGAGTGGAGAAAGTAGAAGTGGCATTTTGGAGTTCCAAGAAAAAGCGGAGCCCAGACAGACAGCGTCTGTGCG